AAAAAAAAAAAACTGGGAGTACAGAACTTGGGTACAGGCCAGAGGCTGAGGGGCGGCAAGAGGCTTCACCAAGGACAGAGTGGGGAGCAGAATAGGCAGATCAACGAAATACACTGCTGAGGGGAGCAGCGGGCAGGTCAGAAGATGACTGCCATGCCACATGGATCACCTCCGGGGCAGGTGGGAATCAAACTCATGCAGAAGTGGCTTTAGCTTCTTAGTGCTGTGCTTTAACCCACTGCGCCACCAGGGAGGGCCTTGCTTCTCTATTTTCAAAGTCAGCAATGACTGAAGGGATTCTTTCCATATCATATCTCTCTGTCTTCCTCCTACACTATCAAAGAGCCACGAGGCAGCATTGGGTCCACTTGGGTAATCTAGGATCAATTCCTTGTTTTGAACTACTTTTAATTCATCTTTATCAAGCACCATATAGTCACAGGTTCTGGGGATCAGACATGAACTCCTTTGGGGCCCGAATCCTGCTGACCTTACTTGGTGCTTTCACTCTGTGCAGGTGATGCAGGAATACTTGCTTAACTTTGGAACACTCTGGAAAAATGCCTGTGAGCACTCCAGGCACCAGAGCTTGATCCTTTGCAGTGACTGAGTCTTGTGTTTGTGTGTGTGTGTATGTGTGATAAACTATACATGCACACTTGCACAGTTCCACCATTCCTGTGGACAGACCCCTCAGCATGGCTGGGAAAGCACATGTCCCAACACTATGACATTTCCAAGTGAGTTAGCTGGAGGATTGCAAAAATAACGTCAACTTGACTTGCAGCCAATTCCCACACTCAGCTCTTTGGAGAAAGACTCTAGGATGGAGTGTGGGAGGCGAGAAAGTTTCTTACTGATGAGTGTGTGGGATGACCACCTCATCCCATGTGCACAAAGAAGCAGGGCGGGAAGGGGGAGGGTTTCCAATTCCAGCGTTAATGAAAATAAAAATCTCCACAGCACCATTTCTCAGCTGCTACCCAAAAGGAAGACTTGGAACCTTAGTTCTGCAGTAGGATTGGGGGTCTTATTTATAGTCTCCTTCCAGGACTTTCCTGTGGGAAATTCATTAATTGTCACAGATATTGGGAAGTCATTCATAGGAGAAGGGCTGCCCAAAGCTGTTTACCAAGGGCTAGAAAGGAGACATCTGGAAGGGATGGCAGAGGCGACAGGCTTCTCTGCAGATAGGAAGTTACCTTAGCTCCCGGCACAGAAAGCTGTGATGCTCAGTAATTGAGGCTGCTTTAATAGTTTTAAGGGAAAATTCACTGGCTCTGACATGCTTGGGGAAATTAGGCAAGCTCCTCTCTTTGATTTCAAGACAAACAGAACAGACTCTGCCTTAGGTTTCTGTGGGATGCTGGCAAGTCATTGAACTCCTTGAGTTAGGGTCTTTCTCTCTGAGACCCCTTCAAGTTTGAAACTTCAATCCCTTCCTTCCACATGTAGCTGAAAGTGTTTCTTGCTCTTTAAAACTTCATTAGAAGATTTCAAGGCCCACCAGAAAGGATGCTGCTCTCAAAGGGAGTTTAACAACTGAATTGCCCCAGGTCTCCTATCCAAGTCAGCGCAGGCCAAGACAGCTCAGCTTTGTGGAGAGCCACCTTTGAGATGAGCCCTCTTTGCTTTCTCCGGAGCGTGCTGGCTTCTGGGCATGGTGCACAGCCCATCTGTTTGGTTTGGTGATTGCCTGATGGCGTGGGAGGAGCAGCAAGTAAGCACAGTCTTAGACATCAGATGTTTAAAATGCTGTACTTTCTCCCCCATATGGGGGCCCAGAATCATTGTGATGGGCCCACGTAAAAACAACTTTTAGACCTAAAAAGGTGAACTTCAGCTATTGCAGTACCTGTGCCTCCTCCTAGAGCTACAGTAGTAGATGATAAGAGAGGTAAGGGCTTCATCTCTTGGGTCCAACCTCTATGACTTTCCTCTACCCTGCCCTTTAAGAGGATGCACCTCTCTCTCTCTGTCTCTCTCACTCTTGGAGGGTTGGAGGATGGTAGGACGATTGGAAGACTTGATCCCTGGCTCTAGCAACTTTTCACTTGGGGGTCTTAGGATGTTACCCCGTCCTTGGTTCTAAGGCATCATGTTACTTTTCTGGGGAGGAGCTATGTGTGTTACTGAATCTACCGAAAACAGGTCTTCATAAAGACTACTACACTGAACCCCTACTCCAGTGAAAATGTAAAGCGAGCTAGGAAGGGAGGGGACTGTGCTCTTGGCTACATCAGAACTCAAGGAGGACTGTGAACCTCTCTGGACATCATGTGAATTTGTACCCTCATTCAGAGAAGTTCCAGCCCCGTTTGATAACAAGATAGCTTGAAAGATGCCTATATCCTTAGTTCCAGCATCTCTCTTCTAAGATTTATCTGAAGAAAATAATTTCAAATATGCTCTGCATTTATGCAAAGATATTAATTTTAGTAGTATTTGTGAAAGTTCAAAATTTAAAGCATCTTAAATGTCAAATAATAGAGGACTATTTAAATGAACTATGATATAGACACACAATGAAATATCAAATGGCCATTAAAATTAGGTTATATAAGATTATTTAATGGTTCTTGAAAACTCTCATAATAGAATGTTATACAAAAAAGCAGGGAGACCCCACTGGACTCAGTGTCCTGTGCACCTCTAAAAGTCACGCGCTGGTAAAGATCATAAGGGAGGACATTAACATTTTACAATGATTTCTCCAGGAGATAAAATTACAGCTAATTATCATTTTCTTCTATAAGCGTTTCTATATTTTCCAAATTAGAAACTTTGTAGAAATAATAAACATGGGTTAAAAGGTTCAGGTCCTGTAGTTGATACCCCAACTGGATATCAACCGGAGGCCCCTTGATCTGACCTGCCTGGACAGGGGTACCGTGAGCGCCCTTCCAAGGCTACTGCAGAAAAGAGACCTTCCCATTTCAGGCAGTATGTTCAGGGGCCAACCACCGGGTCGCTGGCATGGTCTGGGCTTCCAGTGACAATAGTGTGATCAGGAGGGTTTCAAGGGAGGGAGGGCTCACAAGAGGCATGAACTCTGACAGTTACCCACTGCTCCCACCTACCAGTTTCAGGGTCGCATTGATGTTCACAGGGGTCAAGGAGCCGCCGGGCACAGAGGTCCATGGCCCATGGCCCGCTGGAGTTCTGCTGAGAGAAAAGCACCACTTGGGCAGGGTTCAACCAGTCACTGGCATCCAGTTGGCTCCCCTCCAGCAAGATGAAGCGGCTCCCTGCAAGGGGAGAGAGAGGACGCATGCCGAGTGTGCACACCACGCGCGCGCACACACACACGTCACTGAAGATGGAATCAAGGTTGCTTTGCAGATTAGCCCCAATCTGAAGTCATCAGCCCTACCCCCTAATCGCCCTTGCCCACCATGAGCCCCTGAGCAAGGGATCTACAGAGGGAAACTCGTCCACCACACCCTCTTGTTTCCCTGGCCGCCGTCCATCCTCCAGAGAGTTGCTGAGGGACACAGGGACAGAATGCCTCTGTAACGGAGTGGCGCTATTCCATCAGACCCAGCCACAGGCACTGGCCCTCGTCCAAGGAACAGGGGTCTGTTGCCTGTCTTCACTTGCCATGAAATAGCAGGCCTCTAACACCACACAGTCCCCACATGTTGGCCGCCTCGGGCAACCCAGAGAATAGACATTAACAAGTCAATTAGGTGCTGTGGGCTTTGCTTACTCAGGGACACTCAGAAGCTACATTACGCCCCTGTTCTATTGGGGTTCCCTGAATGAAAGTAGTTATTGCTTTAGAGTTCCAGGCTTGTAGCAAGTAAGAATGTCTCACCTGGGCACATTAAACCAAAGCATAGCTAATCCTTAAATGGTTCTACTACTCACTTAGCTTTCCCCCATTCCCAAGCTATAAGAATCTTGTTGTCAACCTATGGCCAGAACACCCTGAATTTTTCTACAAAGACAGGACTTATATAAAAACAAACAAAAATAGAGAATAGGAGTGGGTACAGAGAAGAGGAGGCGATCTGTTCAGTTGGTTTTTATTTTTCTAGCCTGTTCTATGCTTCATCTGTGGACAATCCATTTTCTCCTAAGCCTTACTATCTGGGGTTATTTGTTTTCCTCACTTGTAGTAATAGGCACCAGTGACAACTAGCTTCTCTATATTGTCCTGGCCCAACCTGAAAACCTTCCTCTTAAGGAAGGAAGTTGCAACCTCAGAAGTGGACTCACCATCGGCAATCAGGTGCTCAGGGACGTGCAGGGTGATTTTGACAATGAGAGGGCAGCTGACGTGGGAAGAACACACGAGGCCGATCACACAGCTGGTGATGCTGATCAGTGTCAAGGTGGTCTTGTTCACAGGGCTTCGGGGAGATCCCACTGAGACAAGACAAAAGCAAGACCGATGGTGGTAAAAAATAGTGCCAGAGCAACTTCAACTTGGCCCTTTGCTGCCCAATGAGGCAAACAGGGAGGCAGCTGCAAATAGCTGGCTGGATGACCTTTGTGACCTTCATCCTCCCTGAGCACCAGGTCATCAGTAAGAGTCAAGGTGGACTTGGCTGACCAGTGGCTTCAGAGGCAAAAGCGGTCAGTGCGAGTCCTCTGTACACTGCCTGGGCCAAGTTTACAAGTCATAAGGAGCACACTGTCTCCTGCCACACTCCTGCCTGAGTGCTGACCAGCATCCAAGGTGTGCAGGAGTGGTGGGAACCCAGGGGTAAAGTCCTTGCACTTTCAGCACTGTTCACAGGGGGCGTTCTCACAAAGCAGCTCCTCCACTCTGGGAGCTGGAACTACCTGTGCTTGAGGAATCTGGCTGCATCTTATGGAGGGAAGAGTCCTACCAAGTGACCCTCACTGCAGGATCTGACAGGGGGAAGTCAGTGGAGAGAGCTGCCACACGAAAGGCCCTCCCTAGTCCTGCAGTCTTTGGGATCAGGTTATCAATGGATGCTTAGTGAGAAAATAACAATGCGGGGGAGTAAGACACTCCCAGGAAGGTGGAAACAAGAACAGGAAAAGGCCTTTTGGTGGAATTACTTTATTATTATTATTTTTTCCTTTGTTTGATTTCATTTGTAGAGAAGATAAAATGGCAGTAAGAAGAGGCACCTTTCATATGCAGACAAAACAGATGTGGAAATGTAAGACAAGTTGCCAACAAAAGTGTGGATCCTTTGGAATTTTCTTATGCTCTATGTTAAAATTTAGCACTGACGTTAATGAAAGGCATCTACTAAGGCAGACGGTGTGCTAAGCCTGTCGTATGTTTCAATACTAAAGGTAAAAGATACTAGTTCCTTAAAGTAATCAATCTGAGCCTCTAAAGTACACCCACCTGGAGATAAAGAACACGCATGTCAGTGAGAATCACCTTGCAGGGGTAGAGGTAGTATGAGCAGGGGCTGGGCTGCAGGACTCAGGACTTCACAGGGCTCCTGTCACTTAACGATGAACACAGTCTCACAAGGCAGTTCCCAAAGATGAACAGGGAGCCGAAGAGGCGAGAGACATGGCTGAGGCCAAGCAGCTGCTAGAGACTGGAGCTGACATCAAGACAGGAGTGCTGATGGCCACAGCCCCCAGACACAACAGTGCCTTTGGGATCACTGTTCCCAAAGGGGGGTGGTTTTTGGCTTATGGCTGCGCTCATCCCCTATGGGCTCATCTTTCACAGAAGCAGGTTTTCTGAGAGGGTATGTTGGGAATAGCTGGAAGGGACTCAAAGATGGCAGGAAGCATTGGGTCCTCTATCCCTTTCTACTTAGAGATAGTCTTCTCATGTAATTATTCAAGATGGAATTGGCTTCTTCACACTACGGCTCACCATTTGTAGCCCGGCCAAGTCTTGAGTTGCAGACGGGCCATCCTGCGGGCATTCATATGCAATTTTCAAAACTGGACACTCCACCTCCCCTCAAACCTCCCTTCCTAGCCCCATTTTTCCAGCAAGTAGACTTCTGATGACTTGGTTTTCCAAGTCTGAAAACTCCATCATGTCTCCTTTCTCTTTCCCAGTCTACAAAGCCCCCACCCCCAGTGCCATTAAATCTTTTTCTTCATTTTGTGTCCAACATTTTTCTTGCCTGCCACCTGCCCTTACCCCTGTCATTTCACTTCTGGACTGTGACACCAGCCATCCATCTAGCCTCCCTGCCTCAGCTTCCACCTCTCTCCCCACTATTCCTGGGGCGGGGTGGGGAGGAGGGTCCTTCTCCAAGCAGAGTGAACCAGAGGAATGTTTTAAAAGCTTTCTATAAAACCAACGGAAGTGCTGTGTTCAAGTCCTTGCAGTCCAGGTCACATTCTTTCTGGCTTCTCCTGATATCCCACCCTTATTTTAGAAGCGACCCACATACCTGTGCCTGACATTTCATTTTAGTCAACTTTTTTTTTTTAAAGATTTATTTATTCATACATGCAGAACTGAGGTACAGGCCAGAGATGCGGGAGATGAGAAGATTCACCAAGAACAGAGTAGGAAGCAGAACAGGCAGATTGACTGAAATACACTGTTGAGGGGAGCAGAGGGCGGGTCAGGAGAGATCTGCTGTGCCATGTGTGTCACCTCCCTAGCCGGGGATCAAACTTGTGCTGCAGTGGCTGAGATAGCTTCATTGTGCTGTGCTTTAACCCACAAGGGAGGGCCTCCTTCTAGTAAACTCTTTACTGCTCTCTGACTAGACCACAATCATTTATCTGTGACTTTGCACATATTATTTCCTCCACACGATGCCTTTTTGTCACCTTGTCAACCTGGTGTACACCTACTTTTCATGTCTTGATTCAAACAACATCTCCCAGTAAACACTCCCCTGAAAGCTTCAAGAACAGATTTTCGTCAGTCTCGGTGCATCCTGCTGCTACAGCCCTTATCACAAGTGTTGCCACTGTTCACGGGCACTTGCCACTGCTCTCCCGTGATTTGCAGAAACTTGCCACTGATCATCTTGTCTCCTTGGTTCTTCTGCACCATCAACCCATCACTCAGCATCTCTACCTGATTACAAAATTGCAGTGGTTCCCTGTAGAACATGTTCCCCACAGAACCAAGCGCAAACTCAGAAACAGGACATGAAGGTGGCCCTTTGTAGCTAGCTTGGGACTCTGCCCCGTAGCTACTATACTCCAGGATATTTATACACCAGGCTACAGTTGCCATATTAAACTCCTTTGACTTGCTCAAATAATACCAAGCTCTTTTGTGCTGTCAAGGTTTTTTGTATGCTGTCTTCCTCTACTGGGATGCCTCATCCTAGATTGTCCTCTTTTAAGAAATTCTATACATTATATACAACCCAGTTCTAATTATTGTTTCCTTTTGCCTCCTGTTGTTACTAGACAGAATTAACTGTTTTATCTCCTGAGTAGGCCTTTTCATTTATTTATGTTACTAAGTGAAGCCTTATCAATGTGCCATGTTTCGACCACTGATGACAAAGCCGACCCATAGCAGGTGGGTTATAAAATGATTGCTGAACCAACTGATGTTTCCAGTTCAATTCAACAAACATAAGCATCTATTCTAGGCAAAATCCTTCACTAGGCGCTTTGGAAAACTACATGAGACACACCCTTCCCTAGGAAGCTTACCATCTAGTTAATGACAATAAGCAGCAGATGCATGAAGAGAACTGGGTGCTTCAGAGGAATAATTCTATGCTGCAAGGAGATGCACTGTGAGGGCAGATGTTAGGCCTCATTGATTTCTTGAGAAAAATGACAGGAAGAACTTTTGTACTGATATCAGGGAAGCTCTAGAAACTGAAATAGGGGAATTCGAAGGCTTCTTCCAATCTCTGGAAAGAATCTCCTCAGTATGAAAGGAACTCAGGTAGAGAGCCAAAATGTGGCTGTCTTTGGGGGCCACTGACTGAGGATGGTTTGGAGAAAGTACTATTGAGTATGTCACAAGGTGAGGTCACTCCAACATCCAAGGGGTCCCTGTCCACAATTCATTGAGATGGGTGCTGGAGAAACCTGAAGCTGTTCTGTGAAGAGTTCTGAGGGTAACAGCAGGGATTTTATAGTGCTCTCCAGTCAACCATAAACAGCACACTTTAATATCAATCGATAGTGACAGGAATCCTATGTGTGAGATTTTGCCCATTCAACATGTGAGGAAACTAAGGCTCAGAAAAGTAGATGTCCTTTCCAAGATCACACAGCAAGGGAATAGCAAAGTTCACTGGTGCTTGAACCTGGACCTCTTTCACTGATGATAGTGAAAGTGGCAAAGTCATGGGTAGTGGCCCCCACAGCTACCTGGAGTCACTAGCATCAGGCTGTAGTGATACATTTAGTGGCTGCATGCAAGTCATCTGTCAATGATGACTTGGATCCACAAGAGAAAGTAGGGGACTTGAGGGCCTGGGGTCATATGATTCACTTGGGTAGGGATTAAAGAGTGAACCATTATGCTGGTTTTATGGGCAACAGATTATTCAATTCCCCCCCAAATCCCCAACCCCTGCCTAGTTCAAGTCCAAGGCCTATGTAGCCAGGTAAGCAAGAATATATGCTGTGCATTTTTTCACATACAACACACAGTGTCAGCTTTATTTCCTCTATCTAAACAGCAAAATATGACTCCTGAGTCTTCCAGAAGGAATTGAGAGTCTTCTGACCAAGAAATAGCCTTTCAAACAACTTGGAAACTCGTTTGAGAGTGCCATTATCTGGGAGAGATGATTCTCTGAAATTTTCCACTCTGGGCTCTTCTTTCTTCCTTAGGAGGAAACACCAATTGTAGTCCAAGAGTTCTTCCTGCAGAGCCCCCACAAAGCCCCTATGGGACCCAGCAGCTCCCTTCCTTTGCCACCGCCCCACGCTCCCACCTTCCTTCCTACCTCTACTGCGCCTCCGGCTCCGGGAAGGGTCAGTGTAGAAGGTCAGCTGGGGGTCATTCTCTGCCTCAGTGCCAGAATCACCTTCGGGGTTCAGGAAGGCAGACCCAGCTGTAAGGAAAAGGAGCATGGCTAAGAGATCGTCAGCTCTGTCTTCATAACAAATTACTGTTTGCTCAGAGAGTGGGTTGACTGACACTCTGGGAGGAGCAACCCCAGGGACTGGGGCTTCCTGATGTACAGATTTATAGGGAAAGCAGAACTTAATTTGACAGCCATCCCAGGGGTCCGGCCCCTGTCACCCCAGCTCTGCTCAGGATACCTATTCACAACAGCTATCTGCTGGAGTGGGCCTTTAAAAGGGAAGGTTGCAGATACAAAAAGCAGACTCCCTCAAGACAGATCATGATTCTGGTTGATTTGATACGAAAATTTTGTCTAAGGGGCATAGAATATTACATTTTTGTACTCTTTTCTGATTCTAAAACCATTAGTTAAAGTACAAAAGAAGAAAAATTAAAGAAACACACACAAATATGTAGAGAACATCTTGATGTCTTTTAAAAAAGTAGAAAACTGTTAACTGTTGATGCATATACTCTCCATCTTTTTCAGACACCAAAAAAGGTTTTTAAGTCCCTCCTTATAAATGGCATTTTGTTGTACCTTCATTCTTGAATCTAATTTTTTCCATTTAATAGATAGGTGGGCAACTATCCAAATTAGGACATATAGATCTATATTATCATCTTAAATGGCCACACACAAGCCACTGGACAGCGGACAGATGTGCAGATAGTTAACCAATTCCCTCCTAATGGACATTTCAGCAACTTCCAACTTTTCACTCTTTTAAACAATGTTATGATGAGCAGCTTTTAAAATGTCTTTGTGTGTTTGCCCAATTATTTCTTAAGGAAAAAGAAATGCATTGAAATTATTTGGTTAGAAGGTTGGCATGTTTAGATTTCTGGGTAAGCTCTCAGCAGGCTTCCAGGAAGACTTCCAGGACACTTCTCTAGCCCTGTGTGAGCATGTGGGTTGGACATATAGGGAAGGTGGGGGCCCTCCTTCCCCCATATTCAGGAACTCCCAGGCCAGTCCTAACACCCTAACCTCACACATGATACCTCTTGCTTTGTTGTTGATCCGCTTTCTCTGGCTACTGGAGGTGTGGGAGAGTAGAGTGGCCTGCTGGTGGTTAGAGTCCACAGGGCTAGTGGCGATGATGTTATCTTTATATTTGTTCATCAGAGACAGCTTGGCATTGTCACTTCCTGTATACGGAAAAGTCAAGGCAAAATTTTTAACAGAAAAGGCCAAAAGAAAGTGAGAACAGGGGAATTTGCATGAACCAAGTAGATGGAGTTTCACAGAATTGAAATATAAAACCTTTAAAGTGAGAGCTTGGCAAAGACTGAAATATTCCTTTGATTTCTGGGGGGAACACAAATTTATATGAGACAGAATGAAGTAAGTGATTATAACTGCTTCCAATTCAACTAACTTTGCAATGATAAGGTCACAGTGTGTGCCCTTTGGCTAGGTACAGACTACAGATCTCTTCCATGTGGCCAGCGCCTCTTTTTAAAACGATCTGAACTGAGTGCTCTTTCTTGTTCACCACAGTCTACACCATGCCCTACTGTCTGACACCCAGCAGCTACTTTGCACATATGCACCTGTTCCCAGAAAGCACCTGAGTTTAAACCCCAGGCTATTTTACACATTCACTTGATCAACCTGGCCCAGGGACAGGTGCCGTGAGATATTGAGAATATGAGATACTGAAGTTATGTCCTATGTTCTCAAGGCAATTCCAGACTTTAAGTCTTTTAAGGAAGTGACTAGTCATAGAAGATCACTTCTAGAAACAAACAGAATGGAAACCTCTATGATGGCGTTTCCCTGAAATTCCATATATCTTCACATTCCGTATCAAAAATGTCTTTGTCAAAGATAACTGGGCAGTTCCTTGAAAGATCACTGTCCTGGGGTTTTATCTGCAGGTTAGTTGCTTATTTATGGGCATTCTAGAGAGACAGGTGGGCTGCTGAAAAAGACAGATACAGTTGTTCCCTCTCTGCATTTTGTTGACCCCTGTCTTGTTCAGCTGGATTAGGTCCAAGTCTCTGCCACCCAGTGTCTCTCCACAGACACACAAAGCATCTGAGGTCAGACAGCTTGATTACAGTCCTTTATTTTCTTTGAAGAAGTACTTTCCTCGTAAAGACCACAGAGGAATGGTGAAGGAGAACACAACTAAAACACCCCCAGAGTCTCAGGAATCATAGAAAAGAACAAATACCTCTGTCCTCTCCACTTCAGTGGCTACTTAAATTGCTTAAGTAAATGTGCTGTATACAAACATCTCAGACACATGTGCTGATCCTTCTTGCCATCTCTTTATTCCCAGCAGATTGTTCATCATCAATAAAAAGGCTTTAACCCACTCTTCTGTTGGATGGCAAAGAACCTCTGCTTCCCATGCTAAGTGAAAGTGGAGAGGGATTTAATTTACACTTGCTCCTCTGATTCCCTATATTAGAAAACTGCTCCCTTCATGTCAGGGAGAAGCTGACTCTTCTTGCCTGTCTGGGAGAGGGCCCTGGCACATCCGCTTATATATGAGAACCAGCCACAAAATCAGAAAACATCCGGACCCACTCCCGGGACACCCTGCAAGGAAGGACCAAATCAGCCCTGGAGCTCCCCACCTGGTGTGAGGTCCATTCCTGTCTTCTCGTTGCAGCCTTGCAGGGACTCCAGGGTGCGAGTGACCTGGCTGGCAAAGTCCTCCCCTCCGTTCATGCACTCCCTCTGCAGGTGGTGGCGGAGGTCGGTGATGTCGTACTCATAGCCATCCAGGATGGGTGTCTCCCGGATGCTCAGGGTGCCGCTGGAGTTGTGGCCCTGCACACGGGCATTACGCAGACTCTCCCGGCCGTGCCCACCAATCAGCACCGAAGGGATGTAGTGAATCTCGTTGGCAGCCTCGGCACTGGCACTCTTCTGGGGTTGGGGGACACGGCGGCGCTTGCACCAGCGCCGGCGAGTGTACAGGATCATCACCAGGCACAAGATGGACAGAAGCAGGGCGATCATGCCTCCCTGGTAAGAGAGGACAGCAGGTGCGTGCAGGGAGAAGGGTGAGTCTACCCACAAAGACACATCACCCCTCCTGCCACCACTCTCTCTCATTCGCTTATTAATTCATCTGTTATGGAGCAACAAGCCCTTAGAGCAAGTGTTGCTCAGAAGCAGGACGGTTTGCTGGGGTCAGTGTTTGAGACGAGAGAAAAATGCATCGGGGGTGATCAGTGCCTCATGGTATGTGATCCATCGTTGCTGCTCCCTTCGCAAACAACTTGGAGAAGAAACACATCTCATGGAGTGTGTGTGTGTATGTGTGTATGTGTGTGAGAGGGAGAGAGAGACAGAGACAGGAAGACAGAGAGTGAGAGAGACAGAGAGGAGGTGAGGGGAGGGAAAGAGCTAGAGCCAGAAGAAGGAGGAGGGAGAGAAGGAGGGAGAGGTTTCAGCTGCAGAAAACAAGGAATTTTATTAGAGCAAATCAGTGATATATAAAGCCAGTACTGGCCCAGTTGTTACCAGTGAGATGGCATCTGCTTTCTGAGCTCAAAATCAACCATACATCTACCCTATTGCTGACGACACCAATGATCAGGGAATCCTAAAATTCCAAACCTCGGACTCCTCATCTGTATAATGGAGAGGACACCCTTTGGTAGGTGGTAGCAAGGACTACATTAGGTAACTATGCAAAGTGTCAGGGAATTAAGCAGAATTAGAACTGCAGCCATCCTCATCCTAAGCCCACGTATCTCCTCAGAGTAGCTACTCAGCAGGGGAAGGCCATTGACCCACCCAAAGAGAAATTCACATGCATCAGGAACTGAAATCAGGGTGACATGCATCAAGAACTGAAATCTCATGCCAGGTGTGAACTTGACTTTTGGGATCACTTTTGCTTTCAGAAAGTTTCCTCCTATCCACGCAGTCTGGAGTGAGGCTTCCCTCTTGTTACATCTCCTGGGAAGGGACTAGATCCACATCTTGGGGTTCATATTGGTAGAGAAGTCTCCTTCTGGACTTTTCTTGTGCTCCAAGGCTATCCTCTGGAGCCATTACTTTAAAACCAGGACACCACTCAGGGGTCAGTCAGAGGCAAGGATGCATGTTCTAGAAGCCTGAACATGTCGCTCCATCTACCCCGACCAGGGTTTGGCTGGAAGATCTTGCAGGTGTGTTGCTGCACTGTGCTCGGTGGGCCCAAATCTCCCTACACATGATCTGTATTCACTCCCTTTAGTTTGGTCAATATCCTTCCAAACCTGTTTTATTAGATTGGGGTGTGCCAAAAGGTTCTGCTCTCAACCTTGGGGGTCAATCACTGCTACTTCATCACAGAGGCTAGAGATGAACCCCCCCCATCTCGTTACTTCCTGGGGCCCACCTACATAAGACCAGGTCAAGATCATTCCATCAAATAGATTAATGGGGGCTTTTTCCAGTCTCATAATAATGTTTTGAATTTTGAAGTTCCTCTCCCCATAAATGTTCCCATTTATCTTCCCTTTCTCACCATCATCCTGAGAAAAGGAGCTCGTGAGTTCATGCACACACACACACACAGACACACACAAACTGTCACTTTCAAACAGGCAGCGCAGAGGAGCTGAGAAAGAAGCAACCGAGTCAGTTGCCAAGTGACAGGTCCTGGCAGGTGGCTTGTTGGCGACATACTGAGCCTCCGAATTTTTCTTACATCTGCAGCCCTTCCTCTTGGTGAAATTTCTCATGCAAGTGCAGAGAAAGTGTAAATATGAAGCTGCTTAGGGTAGGCTGGGATTGGGAGGAATATTCCAGGTCCTGGCTCAGCACCAGCCCCTCCCTGCTGGCCTCGGTTCCTCCCCGTAACCTCTGCACACAGCGCGCCCCCGGAGCGCCCCCACAACACAGTTTCTCAGCCTGCCCTGCACCCAGGTGCCCAGAGAAAGTGCTGGAGCCCAACCCAATAGGTTTGGGGCAGAACCTTTATCTCAGTCAGGCCCACTAGCCTCTCCTTCACCCCAAATTGAAACTGCAACAATAGGTAATTAAGCCACACTGAAGGAATAACTTCCTGAGTGAGAGAAGTTGTCAGACATTGAATTAGGCTAGTGAAAGCGAGAGGTAATTTTATTCCCTAAAGAGCTGTAAGAGGAGCATAAACATCAATCTCCAGGAGTGGCTTAAACACCATCCTTCCTGCTCACAGAGGTTTTCAGGCGCTCCTTCCTCATTTCTCCCTAATTCTCCTTTCAGACAGTCACGGGAGGGTCACTGCACCAGTAGGACATGGGTCCCTCCCCCATGTCATGCAGAAATAAAATGAGAACAGTTGTCAATGTGGAGGTTTTACTTTGCATCAGATAGCTGAAAAGGCACCCTAAGCCTTTTCCTCCTTTTACATTTGAAAAGCCCAAGGCACAGAGGTAAAATCTCCTCCCAAAGGTCACAAAGCAAATGAACAAGAGGACTGGGGTTGGAACAGCGTGATTCTTCTTGCATAACCTATGTTCTTAGTTCTACCCAGGCCAGTCACTCTGAAGGAGTCATCCTTGGGTGGAGGTGGGGGGAGATCTCAGAGGTCCCAAAAGCAAAGAGTAGAGAGAGTGCAGATGAGTCCACAATCTGCTAGAAGGAACATGAGAAGACTGCACAGTGCACACCTGGCTGGCAGGCTCAGAAACAGTACTCCCATAAACACGGGACCTTTAACTAACCACTAGGTGTTCAACCCAAGCCTAGCTGTGAGTGGAAAGCTCAAGTTCTCAGTGTTAATGTACCAATCTGTGCATCACACATGCATCACACATGCCTCCGGAAGATGCTGTTGGAAATCTCAAATTAGTTCAATTTCAACAACAAAAAAATTGAGTTCATGTTTAACTGTGGGACCCACTGAAAACCCCGAGGTTCATTGCCACCATTTCTGATAAACAAACCAAGACCTACAGACATTGCAGAACTGGTTCTAGACTAAGGTCCTCATCACAGCATTGTTCTGCTCCGTTAATCTGAAACTCCCATTACTGTGTGTGGGCCTAGGCACTCTGCTGGGAGTATTTTATGTTGAAGCTTATACTGAACACAACAACTTGTAGGAAGCTAGACCACACACTTTCATTCAGCTAAGCCAGTGTTTTCAGCATCTTTAATCCTGCGTTAGCAAAACATGTTTCTATTGCTTAGAGTCAGTACACTCAGCCATTTTGGCTTTTTAATAGCAGTGCTTAGCTTGGCTATCAGAAGAAACTCAGAAGAGGCACATGACCAATACTTCTCTATCACTCAAGTTGGTGGCAGATGTCACAACACTGTGATGTGTTAATACTTGTGGATTATTATGTAAACAACAACACATATTGTCACATACTTTAACAATCTTTTGAAATATAGCAATTCATAAAATCACTACATACAACTTTTCTGAACCGCTAATCTGCTCTATCCAGCAAGCAGGGAGGAGGCAGGTGGAGTCTGTGTTTAGACCCTCTACCATCCTGGGGGAAGGCAAAGAGACAACTATCTTGCTAACTTTACTACTATTTCCAAGTCCTGGAAAATTCAGTGCTCAGTCTATTACATTTGCATTCCTGTGATAAACCATAGTTCTCTGAAATGACCATTATTTTTAATCCTTCTACTTCCCCAGAGGGTTTTAAGTAACAGCAGAAAATATCAGACACTCTAGGAATTTTTTCTCAAATAACCTCACGAGACCAAGAAGTGGCAGATGGACTGGAAGGACATCCAGGCTAAGGGCAGCAGCTGGGAACTTCCTGATACCAAGACAAGTTGCATAGGTCTTCCTGTTGTGAGGAACTAGCTTCCTGTGGAGCAACCTCCACCTGGAGCAGGTGCATGAGCACGTGGTAGATGATCTGGGTGATACCATCATATGGGTTTTGCCAGGAGCACACCAGAACTCTGCACATGCGCAGACCTGCTCTGAGTTTCTGCATCACCTCCTGTATTTTCAGAGTAGCCTTCAGTTACATGTATTAGCTTCAATTTTTGTGGCATTAAAAACAAAACCAAACAAAAAAAGACATTAAGGTTTATCTGGCCCAAGTAAACATGTAACAAGTTCCAGGCTTTGAGCACTTTTAAAAAACCATTATACTGCCAACAAGACAGGGATTTGTTTTGCTCCATATTTATCTTTTCATGAGTTTTCTGATTATTCTATTGATTTTCCTCCAAACTGTTAACATTCTGTAACTAGAAGTGTGTTTAGGGCATATGAGAACTCCACATCTATTCACAAGTTGCTTGCAAAAAATGTGACATTTAAAAAATATTTTTCTTTAAAAAATCAATAAATCATTTCTACTAGCTCTGATAGAGATCAAACAAATAAAATCAGCTGTTATTTTATTATGAGACTGACATTTTCGGCACTTACCTGAGAGAGTAATATGAGATTTGTCAGATAATTTGCAGACTTTGGAGTTTTTATATAACATTTTATATAATGTAGATAGTGATTGATCAAGGAAGGAAACTTTCAGGCAGATCACCTTTTTATGCTCATCCCAGTCACTCAGATCAACCACAAGGCTGTCTCATTATCTGATCTGTATCCACCATGGATCTGGGTAGCTAGAGGCTAACTGTGATGTGTTCTTCACCGTCAGTTCAGTGGCCAGTGACATAAGCTCAGCCAGTTCTTCCTTAGTCTCCCTGCACCACCTCATAGTTTTCCACATCCTAACCACGGGTACTTTACTGTTCATCTGTTTGCTGATCTCATCTATTAGGCTACAGACTTCATGATAGTAGGGACTGTGTCTGATGTTTCCAGGGTCAAACACAATGCCTGGTGTAAAACAAATATTGTCTGTGGAAGTAAGTGGGGAGGGTAGGAGGTAGAGGTGGGGAGGGAGAGGTGGAGGAAGGGGAGTATGGTCCGCTCAGAATATTTCTCAACATGAGCATCCTCTACATGCCTGTGAAATTTATATATGCTCATTCTATGTGATATGTTGATTCATTACTCAAACATCCAACAAGTATTTACTCACTTTAGCAAAGAAAGCATT